TTACTTTATTCATAATTGTCCATCCAAAACTATTAATTTTTTTCTTTTCTTTTTCTTGACATGGTTGCAATGTAACATACGGAGGATGATTTTCTTTAGATCCTTTAATATTTACCCAGTAATTTACGGCTAGTTGTTCTCTCCTGAGCTCCAGTGGCATCTCACCCATCTCCACTTGTAGAGCGGAAACCGGGGTAGTTTTCATTGCTCCACAACAAAGTCTTAATGCCTGGTATTGTATTCTATCTATTTTCTTTAATAAAGTACTTGAAGCTGAATTGTATACTATACAACCATAATCAAAAATTGATCTAATTAGTCCATTATATACTGTTTTTAATGCTTTTCTATCTGCTCCCCAATCTTTTCCTCTCAGACATCTCATTATATTTAAAATTCTTTTACTTTTTTCAACTATTTTATCAATATGTATCTTCCATGTAAGTTTTTTATCAAACCAGATGCCCAAATACTTAATTTGATCTATCCTTTCTATAACATCCCCATATAATTTGAGATTTACATTATTGTTTAACTTCCTATTTGTAAAAGCAACACATTTAGACTTAGATGTTGAGAATCTAAAACCCCAATCTAAAGCCCAAGCTTCTACATTCTGCAATGCTTCTTGTAGTTTTCTATTTACAAACTCTATATTTTTCCCCCTCTTCCAAATAATACCATCATCTGCAAACAATGAGACACCAAAGGATTTATCTATACTACTAAAAATATCATTAATCATTATACTAAATAGAATAGGACTTACTATACTACCTTGGGGAGTGCCATTTTCAACTTGATATTTTGAACTTATTACCCCACCTATTTTTACTCTAATACTTCTTTCAGTTAAAATTTTTTTTATCCATCTATATATTTTACCTCTTATACCTATTCGTTTTATTTTAATCAATAGCCCTTCTTTCCATAACATATCATAAGCCTTTTCCACATCAAGAAATACTGCTAACACACTCTCCTTATTTACCTGAGCCCGTCTAATTTCATGTTCCAGACATAATGCAGGATCTATTGTACGTCTGCCTTTTCTAAATCCAAATTGATAAGATTTAATCTTTTCTTTAGATTCTAAAAAACAAATTAATCTGTTATTTACCATTTTTTCCATGACTTTACCCATACATGATGTTAGAGCTATTGGCCTGTAACTTTCAGCTAAATTAGGATCTTTACCAGGTTTGCAAATTGGTATAATGATGGCTTCTTTCCATATATCAGGTAATATCCCTTCCTCCCACACCTTATTATATAATTCTAATAATATTTCTTTACTCACATCACTAAGATTATTTAACATACTATAACTAATTTGATCTTTCCCAGGATTAGATTTACTAGAATTCTTCAATGCTTTATTTAATTCTAACAAGGAAAACTTCATGTTAATAGAATCCTCACAATCTTCTTCATCATTGACCAATGCAATATTTCTCTTTAATGTCATTTCACGCCCTCTTTTTTCTTTATTATTTACATTTTCTGTACTATGTATCTTAGCAAAACCTTTAACTAATATTTCAACTTTACTCTTATTATCTATTATAATATTTCCATTATCTTTAATTACTGGGAAAAAATATTCTTTTGAACTCCCTGACATTTTCCTAATAGTATTCCATACTCTATCTAAAGCAGTATTTTTCCCCAAAGACTCACAATATTTCCTCCAATAATCCCGTTGTTTTTCAGTTTTTCGCCGCTCTTACCCAATAAAGTCATTTGTGATTAAATATAAAAAGGACATCCATACCACTTTCCTGTGAGTCTGTTCTGGTGCTGTGAGGTGGTGTATGGAGAGCTGTTTGTAGATATAATTATTAGTTATTTAGCGTGTTTTAAGAAAAAAAAGGGCTTTATTTTTTTTTACCATGTCATTCATTCATTTATAAAAATCTTACTTTGTTTAATACATATTTATTTTGGAGCTAAATATTTAACAAACTAGATATTTATTTATCAAAGTAAGATTTTTATAAATGAATGAATGAAAAAAACAACCCCTTATTTTTTTTCTTAAAACACGCTAAATAACCATAAATATTGCTCCTCAATTTTGACTGCTTTACAAACGTCGCCCCATAATGGCAAACTATCTGTCGCTTCAATCTGGACAATATTTATGACAAATTTTAACTTTATTTTAAGGATGTTTTATCTGAAATCACAAAATGTAGAAAATTACTTTCTGACAATTTCTAAATCTTTCACTACTGTTGGCCAAGTTTTATATCCACAAATGTGAAATTATTATGATTGTATCTCTTTTAAAGGATATAAAGAATTTTCTAATAAAGTCTATTAAAAAAAGAAGCATGTTTTTCTGTTTCCGCTTCGTTTCCCCTCATATACCTAAACTATAACCAGGAGTTGCTGGAATATTATCCTCTTCTACTTCTTCTGATGTTTGATGCAGTTAGGAAGCAACTTTTGGTGCATTAAGGCCACCAACTGAGGGGTGGAGTTTGGATCATGATTAAAATATTACTGCAACAATTATAAAAGAACGACTAAAGTAATTTTAACACATCTCAAGGCCAAGGTATCTGTTTATTACTCCAGTATAAATCCTACTGTGTAAAAAAAAAACTTTAATAGAATTTAGAGGATCAACTTCAGCTTTTTACTCCAGTAAAGGTGAAAAAGTAAAATTTTTAAAACTACTAAAATATAAAAATAAAAGTAATGCAGAAACAACTGTTAAGGCCATAGTAACTTCCTTAGACTTCCTTTTCTTAGTTTTATAACTAATGCTAACAGAGTCACATTTAACTTTGCATCATCTTGAAAAATGATTTATTTTGGTTTGTGGTGAGCAACAGGTTGGGGCAGCACCGAGTCCAATCGTAAAGGAATTAATTGTCTTGATGAAACAAATTTTTTGATGCTTTTTATTTATTTATTTAGTTTTTAAATACCAACAGGTCATTATGAAAATGAGCTCAAATGAAACAAAACTAACAAGTATATTTTTACATTGTAAGGAGTAGAAAGTAGAGATAATTGCAAATAAATGCATAAATGTTTTTTTCCAGTGGAGATTAGACCTGCTGTTCTGTCAGACCAGATATCCATAGTCAATACCTGTTTATCCCTTTAGTTTTGTACAAAAAATAAACTTTAAACCTCCTCAAAGTGCGTGATCCCTTTAGTCATGAACAAAAAAAAAGAATTTAATTACTTACTTTTTGTTGTTTTTTGAAGCATATGGTGATCTAACCTTTGATTTTTGTTTAAAGTATATTTTTCGTAGAAAACTAAAGAGATAAACACAAATCTGATGTCTTGTGCAGGTATATTGACTATAAGCAGGGGCGGATTTAGGAAATGTTGGGCCCTAGGCAAAGACAGGCAGGGGGCCCTCTGAATGGAGAATAAAACCCATCAAACAGCCCCATTCTCCAGATAGAGAAATGTTTATAGAATAGACATCCATTATCTGTTCTAGGTTGTGTCCCTCTCTTCTTGTCCCTTTTCTTCTTGTTTTCCTCTCTATGTTTTGTACTCAGCTGACTTTTCATGCTGTCTCTAAAGGAATGAAAGATTTTTTCCAAGCACTAAGCTCACTTAGCTGATTGCTCCTTCCTGTGTTTCCAAAAAGGCCAAAGTAAATAACCCAGTCCTTCTTTTCACTGTAGACAAGCCATGATCTGCTTATCTGTTCTCCATTTTTCATTTGGATGAAATAATAGCTGCATGAATCATGACAGCAGACAAGACAGAGGAGAGCAGGAGGCGGGGTTACCAATCTACTCGCTCTGGAGAGCAGAGTTCGCTGCTTTTAGATGTTGTCTCCAAAGTCTCCAGTAGCAGAAAAAAGTCTCTAGATTTGGCGCTAGGAGCTTTTTAGAAATCAAAGTGCTAGAGGGGTCTGAAAAGTGGCTAAATATAGCGACTAAAGCGCTAAGTTGGCAACACTGCTCTTTGCATGGTTTGTTTTCAAATGGTTTGCTGCTGTCTGATTGGACCTTTCTGAACATGTGCAGCAAATGGACTGATCCAATATGGTGGACACTGAAGGGGGGGGGGGGCTGAGACACACTGAATATTATCAGCGTTCTGATGGTATTTTAGAGAAAGGATTTTTATCAAAAACATAATTAATGTGCACAAATAAGAAAAAGTTGTATTAACCATACATGGAAACAGAGTACACAGCTTCCTAGTATTGCCTAAAGGTGAAAACCCCCCTTGACTATGGGTATGCTCATCTGACAGAACACTTTAAACCAGTAATCATATGTGCAGCAACTAGTAAGTACAATATAACATTGTAACTCCTTTTACAGATAAATATTTATAGAAGACTACCATAAGAATAATCAAGACTCGATTAAAAACATTTTAGGACTAGAAAAGCACTCAGAGAGCAAAGACTTCCTCCAAGTAGATAATTTCTCCCTGTATTCACAGCATCTTTTCAGAAATTCCTGGATCCTGGTGATCCGGAGCATCAAGAAAATATAATCATTTACACCTTCTCTCAAATATTTCAGCAAAATCAGTTTTTAAATGTACTTTATAACTAAATTTAATTTGTCTGGACATAAAGAGATTCCTAATAGCTGGATATGAATTGAACCTGTTATTTAAGGGAACAATTGTTATAAGTATAAAAGTAAACTAAACAGAAAACCAATTTTAAAGAATGAAACATTTTGTTTACACAATATTTTAAGCAATTTTATAGTTTATTGTTGTGTCTTCATATTGTCTCCTGATTACATGGCCTCTCATTTCAGCATAACAAACACTGCAAACAAATTGGGTATTTATGGCATTTATTAAAAAGGCGAATAAATAGTGTGCAAAATATTCATTGCTCGTCGATCTCCGTACGTTCTCTTCTATAAGTTGACAAATAAATGGCCGATGGATTTTCTGTAATTTTTACATTCAGTTCAAGTTTGTTCTGCATTTCACAGCTTTATTTCAGCCACTATCAGTAACCCAGCACCGTTTACATGTTTCAGTTTTAACACCTTTAAATGTTGCTGTTCTTCCCTCTCAGTCACAACATGCGGTCCGAGCTGCAGAGACCCGCATGGAGGAGGAGAGTCTGAACCTTCATCAACTGTCTCCATTCACAGCCTCCCGACGTAAAACCTTCCGAATGCGATCGCTCTTCGTAAGATGAGACGGGAGGCGGTTATTCTGCAGAACGGAAACATGTTTAAGGAGCTGGGATGATGTATGCGTGGCTTTACTTCCTGTTCATCAAAGTTGGAAGCGTTACCTCGTCGGGTAAAGAGGGATCGGCGTTGGCGGCGAGCAGCAGCAGAACACTTTGAAGATTTCCACTCATGACAGCCGCATGAAGGGCGGTGGAGCCATTCTGGAGGCAACACAACCATAACAGCTATTTATTTAAAAAATTTAATTAAGTTGCAAATTGTACATGAAAAAGCTTGAAGATCCCCCTTCTGTGGGCAACTGGATGAAATCAACTAGATCTATGCAGTGGTAAACCTGAAGAAGTCCAAGGGAAGGAGAGAATTTAAGCAGCTCCTCGATGACGCTGTTGTGTCCTTTCAGTGCTGCTTTGAATAACGCAGTCGATCCGTCCTTTAAAGTTAAGAGACATAAGAACTGAATTAGTTTTAACAATATCTGAACAGTTTCAGACCAACGCTTTTCTTTTACACCGTTAAGTCCACAGCATGAAATTAAACACCAAGGCTCTGTACGTTTGGATTTTGTATGATTTTTCCTGTTATTCATTTCTCTTGTTTGTAAAGAAATATTCCAGCACTCTTGAACTTATGCCATTTTAATGCCAAATATTTTTGCACAGGAAAAGCAACAGTTGAGTTCAATCCTGTTTCTTAATGAGGAGGATTCCTAAAGCTGAATCTATTACAGTCAGAGTCAGTGGTGGTTTCAGGTAGGAATTTATTAGTAATTTTCCCTGAACTAGTATTTCATTTGCATGTTTATTCCACAGGAAGCAGAGGATAATTTTATATCCCAACCCCACCCGTCTTGCAGTGTGCAGCTTGGTGACCTACAGACTACACTGTGAATAAAAAAAACACCAAAATTCTGCTTTGAAGCTTCAGATTCAACCCTCAACTAAAGGCTGTTTTATTGTTTTTTTTTTCCGTGTAATGTAATATCTCATCCAGGTAAAACAAATATTTTTTTAATTGTCTGTCTGAAAACATAAAACAAACATTTTATTCACTTTTTTGGGACTGGAAGCACCTTGGATTGAACCCAGCAATGCATTAATAATACTGATGAATGCAGGGAAAACCAAGGAGCTAGTGGTGACACTGGTGATCATCCATGGAACGGACAGTGAGATAGTGGACTCTTCTAAGTACTGAGGTGTTAACCTGAAGAACAAACTGGACTGGACTCCCGAAACTAAGGCTCTGGATCAGAAAGGTTAGAACAGACTCTTTCTGCTGAGGAGACTGAGGTCTTTAGGACAGCAGGGGGCGCTCCTAAAGACCTTCTATGAATCTGCTGGAGCTGTCTGTCTGTTGGGGCAGTGGCTCATCCATAGATATCCATAATAAAGGCTAGATGTCTTACGGAGGAGTCTCAAACGGCATCACCGGGCGGCCATCTTACCACAGGCAGGCTTTCTGTTGTGCTCTGTGGTACTTAATGTAAGGTGAGTGATCAGCACGAACACAAATACTTTATCTCATTGAATTCTTGACGGATTTACAAACAGTTTGGTTTCTTACAAACGTTATGAACGTGGCTATAATTCTTGATGCTTGAACATGTCGAAATTGCAGATTTTCTTGTCGAAAAATGACTTGATCGTGCAGCATACTGGTGCATCACGGTTACTTGCGCAAGTTATCAATAACGATTGTATGACAATTAATCTTTAGTGTAAATTACAATCTTTGTGGATGTGGTTGTAGCTATTAGTTGGCTAATAACAATAATCTGAGTGTTGTTGTATTTTCATTATTAGCCTAACGTTAGCTGGCTAAGAACAAGAAGCTGCGAAGTGAGACCTAAAGTTAGTAAGTTAGCAGCTAACGTTACAGTTTAGCTAGCTGCTAACGTTAACCAGCAACTTTACATCAGTGGAAGAGGCAGAATTTATACATGATTAATGCATGATTTCCAATCGATTTGGTTTGTCAAAACATCTTACATTATGTTACAGGAATTTGCTGGGTCTATTAATAGGAAGATGCCAGACTTTTGTGCAGCCTACGGATGCTCCAATCGCCGTAGTGTCAAAACGAGTGCCAGTGGGATCACCTTTCACATGTAAGATATGAAATTATGATTGGTTTTTGGGATAACCGTTAGTTAATTAGTGGATGTATGTACAATACAGGCTCTGGTACACAGGAACAGCGGGGCTATGACTTAATAGTATTACAAGATTGCCAATAGTCAAAACCTGAGGGAAATCAATATCCCAATGGCCCAAAAAGATAAATGTTCCCTTAATTTCCCCATGGTTATTATAAATTATTTTAATAATACAACTCTTATTTCAGGATTTGTTGTGCGACGGGCTCTGAAAAAGCTGTCCTGTGATGTCTGCCGTGCCAGCTTGGTAACAGATGCTGCATCTGCCATCAAGGACCAGAGCTACCACCTGCTGAAGTTAAAAAACAATGGAGGTCTGGTGATTCCATCAGAAGGCACTGTGATGGTAGTCAGGGCAGCAGAGTGGGTTCTTCGTCAGACCTCATGTACCAGACGATCACAGCCCATCAAAGTGCTAGAGGTCGTGTACATTGTACGGAAGAGGATAGGGTCAGAGGATGTGTTTGTGCTTGGAGAGCACATCGGAGAAACGCAGTATGGCATAGACAGCCACCACCATACGCTGTTAACATTGGTTGTGTCCTTGTTTTTTAAGTTAAGGCTGTACCACATTGCCAAAATAACCAACCTTGGCTTACAGAGCAACAACATGCGACAGAAACACAATAAAACCGTCCTTTTCAAAGGGCATTAACCAAGCTATGTTTTTTGGGTCATTTTTTAAATCTCTGTCTTCCATGTGTATACCATCACAGTAGTGTAGGTGGGGATTTCAACATGCTACATCTATATATACTTGTGAAGGGGACTATTGTACCAATTTTAATAGCAAATAAATTTCACTTTTATAATGGTTTAAAAATAGGAACTTTTGTGTAATTACTGATATATAATCAGAATAGTCTACATGAAACTTCACAGTGTAACCTTTAATTTGAAACCTGGATTATGCTTCTACACCAAGAGGTTGCCACACAATAAGCCTTTTTTGTCAGTATTTCAAATTTATTATAACAGTAATATTTATATTATAAAAGTATTTATGTAAATATAAATAAATTAGGACTGTGAAATAATTAATCACACTCAAATAAAAGTGTTTATATATATATATATATATATGTATTATAATATATATATATATATATTTTATATACAATATATATATATTATTTATATTATATATATATATATATTTTATATATATATACATTATATATATATATATTATATATTGTATATATATATATATTATATATACATTGTATATATACATTATATATATATATATTGTATATATATATTATATATACAATATATATATATATATGTATATATATATATATATATTATATATATATTGTATATATACATTATATATAAAATATATATATATAAATATATATTTCTGGGACCATATATATATGGTTGCCATTCTGTACACTGAGTTTTAATAGCATATATTGATTTAACATAAATACCTTGTGCATGTGTATATTTATTGCACCTATATGTTCTATTCAGTGTTCTTTTCATATGAAATTCCATGGTTATAATTATTCCTAAGTGCGCAGTATCACAACTACATGTCTGACTTTTGTTTAACAAACCAAACAGTTTGAGAATAGTTAGACAATTGAGGAAGTTATGGTTATTTCAGTACATGCGCCATTGAAACACAATGCTACGAATGAGCGAGCTGCCTGTGGTAAGATGGCCGCCACGTGCGGACGTCGACCCCCATTGGCCAGCAGCGCGGACGAGACATCTAGCCTTTATTATGGATATCTATGGGCTCATCTGTAGCTGAGAGGAAGCAGCTGGATAAGCTGATCAGGAAGGCCAGCTGTGATTGGATGCCCTCTGGACTCAGTGCAGGAGGTGGGAAACAGACGGATCCTAACTAAATGGAGCTGTTTCGGAGCTCGCCTGCCTGGCTGAGTGTTTCCTGGACGGGGCCGCCTGTGGAGCTGGTTGACAGTTGCCTTTTGTATCTATGCTTCTTTTTCTATGTCTGCTTCTGTCTCCTTGAACCCCAGTGGGCCTCAGCAGATGGCCGCTCACACTGAGCCTGGTTCTGCTGGAGGTTTCTTCCTGTTCAAAGGGAGTTTTTCCTCTCCACTGTCGCTACAAGCATGCTTAGTGTGAGGGATTGCTGAAGAGTCAATGAGTCGATGCAATCAGCTGGTTTTCCTTAGATAGAAAACTTTGAATCAATCTGACTGGATGATCTGGTTGAACTGGAAAGTGACCTGAGATGACATGATGTGAATTGGAGCTATAGAAATACACTGAATAGAATTAAAAATGCCCACAGCTGTTTATTATCTATTCTTCAGATGCACAGTATTTATATTGTAAAACACTGTACAGTATTGTACTTATTTGTTTATTCTCTTAACTCTGTCACTTATTCTGTTATTTTTATATACTTCTTTAAGGTCCATATTGTGTGTCTAGTTCTGCTATAATATTTTGCAGCTGTAAAAACACAATTTCTCCAATGTGGGACAATAAAGGGATTTTCTACTCTATTCTATTACAGGGATGGGTTGGTCTCACATAAGAAGCAATTACAGTTATATTAAGAGCTGTTTGGCTTCTATTAATGCTCCATAAAGGACCTTTAATTATTTTGTTTTATCACTTGTTGCATATTAAGTTTACAGTAAAATAAAATATAAATTCCGAATAAGCAGGAAAGGAAATAGCCATATTAAAATCACAAACTTGTGCTAAAAGAAATACTGTTTTTCATTGAACTGGTGACCTTCTCTAATACAGAATTGCTTAAGTGCAGGACAATGAATGGATTTTTCCCAAATCTTTACACCAAACCTAACATCACTTCCTGATGATTTATCAGTCCCAACAAAATGAACGTACCAATCTGTCGGCATCCCGATCTGCTCCTCGTAAAAGAAGGACCTTCACTACTTCACTGTGACCCATCTGAGCTGCCATCCACAGGGGAGCAGTGCCATCCTGGGAGGGAGAGGGACGGATGGTGAAGAGTTTGCATGAGAACATATGTGTCCTTCATTTGTCATTCCATTCTAACGTCCTCAGGGTTTTATTTGCCTGCATTTCAACCATCATGTTTGCTGATATCTCCTCTGCAGCATCGAAGGGAAAACTCAATCTGCTGCTTCAGTGGTGAATGAAGCACCATCACAATAATGTCCCCGTTTCCTGAATACTGGATGGCGTTAAGTTCATTTTAAGCATTTGCAACTAATGTGATGGTAATGCAAAGTAAATAATATAGTTTGATGCATTTTATTTTAGCTGTTCTACAAAGACAATTAGAGGTAAATGTGTCAGATTTTAGCATATGGTTCATGTCCAACTGTTATCCCTACTTTAAGCTTTTATAATCACTAAAAATGACCTAACAAACAACATTACTGTTTATTATTTCTGCACATAGCACATTATAAAGTGTAAAATGTTTATTAATACTGCGAGTGCTGTAAGTTATAAAGTGCTGACCAGAAAGCAGCAACAAGAACTTCTCCCCCACCGCTTCTCCCCCTCCATCATGGTTCAAAATGGCTTCCACAACATCTGCATCACCCATCTTGTTGAGTCATGACAAGGTTTTTTTTTTATAGCATAATTAGTATTTCATTAGTCTGTGTAGGATCTAGCTTTCTAGGCCTGAAGTTTGGCAGTCACATTCTAGTTTAATGGCATCTCTACAGTCACTAGTTTGTCCGCTCTGTGCTGCCGTAGCGCAAAGATAGTAATCTCTGAGGCAAAACATGCATAAAATTTGATACTTTCATTTTTCATACGATACTAAATAACATATCTATGCATAATATATTTCTATCAGTAAATCCCTGCACTGCAAAAACAATCTAGAAAAAAGTAAACATTTCTTAAATTAAGTGTATTTCGTCTTAATTTTAGCAGATAAATAAGATGATTTGCCAATGGAATTAGTATTTTTACTCTTAAAATAAGATAATTACATAATATGCACTTGAAATGTCAGTTGTCTTTCCTCCTCAGTTCAAGAAAAATGCACTTATTTTAAGAAAAAATGACTTATTTAGATTTAATCATTACCTACTAGCTTTAAGAAAAAGAGCGAGCAGGTTAGATGTGCAGGCATGCAAAGTGCTTTGTGTTCCAGTGGGCTCTACCTCCCTGGCTTGATTGACCTTGGCACCAGAGGCCAGCAGCTGACGAATCACGGTCACATGACCCCCCTGGGCAGCTAGAAAAAGAGGAGTCGCTCCATCCTGAATACAAGAGGGTTGGAGGTAAAACTCAGAATAAATACACTAATAATTACCTTATATACATATGTTTACAGTAAGGTTGTCGTTTCAGGGATCTCCTAATCCTGCTTGAGGTGATTCATGCTTGACTCAGCTGTTTGGAGAAACCAGAGCGACTGGATTCCTGCTGAGATCAACTTGCCATCAGGCTTGTCACGGAAAAGGTCATTTAATGCAGGAGCATGAAGCGTGACTGCCTAACAGACAGACAGAGATGTAGATGTGGAACTCACATTTAACCGGTCATGAACATTAGCTCCATTCTTCAGCAGGATCTCCACCACAGCAGAGCGGCCGCACTGTGAGGCCACGGTGAGCGCCGTGCCTCCATCCTGTTTGCAAACATGGAAGACAAGAGACTTAAAATCTCTAAATGTATCGCTGGTAACTGAATTACTGGCTGGTGTTCTTTCAGATGAGCATACCCCATCAGACCAGCATAAACATGCTCAAGATGTCAGATTGACATTTATCCTTTCAGTTTTGAATGAAAAAAAGACTTTAAACTACCTCAACAGGCGTGTTTCCTTTTAGTCATGTACAAAAAACAATTTAAGGTCAGATCGCCATAGGCTTCAAAAAACACCAAAAATATAGTAATTCATTTTTTTGTGTGTGTGTATTTTTCATACAAAACTAAAGGGATAATCAGGTATTGACTGTGGGTATGCTGGTCTGACCGGGTATGCTCATCTGACAGAACAGCTGCATGCTTTACACTGTATAAACTGTAGGAGCCATAACACATCACTGCAGCGCACCTTAGTGCGTAACTCAGTGGAAGCACCGAATTCAAAGAGCAGCTTCACGACGTCATGATGTCCCTGCTGTGAGGCGAAGAACAAAGCCGTAGAACCTGTCTGAGGATAAAAATAGATGCAGCTCAATGACTTTTACCCACAATTCAAGTCTGAGATGTTTTCAGATGTGGGCTAGCTCAAGTGGTAAATCACCCGTCCTGCAAACGGGAAGCCTGGATCTGCATCCCGGCTGGAGAGGAATGAGCTGCCAGTGCGGCTCCTTAGGAGTTTGCTAATTAAATATTTTGTTTGTTAAAATAAATATGTAGCTCCAAATTTAATATGTATTTAACAAACTAAATATTTAGTTTGGAGCTAAATATTCATTTAACAAAGTAAGATTTTTATAAATGAATCAATAGTGAATTGAAAAAAAAAAAAACCCTTATTTTTCTCTTAAAACACACTAAATAACCATAAATATTGCTCCTCATTTTTGACTGCTTACTTTACAAACAGCGCCCCGTAATAGTGTCATTTTTCTAGATGTTTGTTAATTTGCATAGTTGCACTTAAATAAACACATTCTCAGAAAATGAATATTTTTTATATATTAGGAAACATAATGTTCATTAATAGCTTGTCCATTATTGAACTGCATTTTTTTTTTAGGTTAGTGACACAATATTAGACCATGCAGAACACAGATTTATCTTCATAAAGCCTCAGAAGGACAACATTTATGTAGAAAAAAGTAAACTTATGCATGAAATTATGTTTTTATACTGTTTTTTGTTGCTTGCATTCCTATAAACATGCCGGTGTGATAACTTAGAATATGTTTGATTGTTTTTTTTGCATACGTCTATTTTGAATTTATAGCCCCCCCCTGGAGAAACCTCCACCAGCCGCCTCTGGCACAAGCCTTTTCCTTTTTCTTTATGTTTTATTTAACAATATTATTTCCAAACCAGCAGTTCATCCAGGCGTCTGCAGTGATCACAGAAAACTTAGCTTTGAGGGAAAGAAAAACAACTAATTATGAGTAACTTCCTGAAGCACATCTACCTCTCTCTGGTAATTGATGTCTGCTCCTTGCATAATGAGCTCTTTGACGCATTCATAATGACCGCTGTAGGACGCCACCATCAGCGCTGTCGTTCCGTACTGCAATACAAAAACACGACAACATCATTTTAAGGCTTTTGTTTCTTTATTCTGTCGTCATCAGCAAAAATGATTGTAATGTAATGATAAACTTGCTGCAACCCTCAGTGTGATCCAGCCTTCATTTCCAACTTATTTATTAGGATTTCATGCTATAGACTGACACACACTAGATATAACTCTAAACTAAATGGGAAATGTGTTTTTCATAAATATTTGAAAATTCAAACCTAAAAAAGGGTTAGTACGTTGGTATTTGTCACCTTTTTCAGTTTGATACAGTCCAATATGAAGGACCAACTCTGCCATATTTAAAAATAAATACAGAAATAAATAAATGCTCAATAAATGTATAAGCATACAATTAATTGCCAACAAAAAAGTGTGACATAAATGTATATAACTCTTAATTAGCTTCTTTATTTATTTGCCTTTGTAATATTTACCTTATTTATTTTTCTGTCCTTTATAATCTTCAACTTTATTTTTTAATTACTTATATTTTTAAGTATTTATTTATGTGCATGTTATAATATTTTTGTCTGTTTTATTCTTCCTTTGTATTTTTTTACCTTAGTTATTTCTTCGCCGCTGTTTATTTCTCTCTGCCCTTTTTACATTTCTCTATGCATTTATGCCTCATTATGCAAATGAGGAGGGGGTGTGTCCTAGAGAGTCATCTTCTGCTCATTGGTTGGCTTGGCGGTCCATCTCCTTAACTCACAGAGCTCAGAGTACTAAGTTAAATGTTCTCTTTTCTGTTGCTGTTGTTCAATAAAAGTACGTTTTAAGATCATTTGAGGCGAGAACCTTATACTTTTAAGCATCACCATATGGCCCATTCACAGATTTAATGCGTAATTTAAAAGAAAATGTGACGAACTTGAGAGGACCGTGGCACCAGCGGAGCTCCGAAGCTGACGGCAGCCAGGTCTATAGCCAGGCTATGATGGCGATTTTTTGTTGTATTTGGCAAAGTTTGGCAAAGTCCCTACTCAAGTTCTAATGACTTCAGACTCGACATCAGACTCTCCTCCTGTAGATTCGACCGATGTAGTAAAATGCTAACCAACACGCTTCACACACGGCTATGCCGAGAGAGGGCCGCTGCAGATGGGCTGTGGTTAGACCTGGCTGCCGTCAGCTTCGGAGCTTTGCTGGTTGCCACGGTCCTCTCAAGTTGGTCACATTTTCTTTTAAATTACGCATTAAATCTGTGAATGGGCCATATGGTGATGCTTAAAAGTATAAGGTTCTCGCCTCAAATGATCTTAAAACGTACTTTTATTGAACAACAGCAACAGAAAAGAGAACATTTAACTTAGTACTCTGAGCTCTGTGAGTTAAGAAGATGGACAGCCAAGCCAACCAATGAGCAGAAGTTGACTCTCTAGGACACACCCCCTCCTCATTTGCATAATGAGACAGAAATGCATAGAGAAATGTAAAAAGGGCAGAGAGAAATGTAAAAAGGGCATAGAGAAATAAACAGCGGCGAAGAAATAACTAAGGTAAAAAAATACAAAGGAAGAATAAAACAGACAAAAATATTATAACATGCACATAAATAAATACTTAAAAATATAAGTAATTAAAAAATAAAGTTGAAGATTATAAAGGACAGAAAAATAAATAAGGTAAATATTACAAAGGCAAATAAATAAAGAAGCTAATTAAGAGTTATATACATTTATGTCTCACTTTTTTGTTGGCAATTAATTGTATGCTTATACATTTATTGAGCATTTATTTATTTCTGTATTTATTTTTAAATATGGCAGAGTTGGTCCTTCATAGTCCAATGTCTCTTAATTAGTAAAGAGAATGTATATTAGTAGTAAAGATGCAAAAATAACAAATAAATGTACAATAAGAAACCGAAATTAGAACAAAATTTTCACCCATTTTCTCAACAATTTTGATTTTAAGCAATATGTATATTTTCTCCTCTCTCACTGTATCACACTGCTAATTTTCGTGTTTGTTTTAATGCACACTTTATAATAATAAAAAAATAAACCAAACATAGACAGGCACAAAACCGTCCTCTGGCTTGATTTGATTTGATTTTTAATGAATTCTATAATAGTTCCTTTCTATTCTATACATGCCCTCTTTACGCCACCTGACCCAGTTTTACAGTTAAACTAACGTTCACCTTCATTTTTCACCAACTGAAAAAAACCTTATGTTGTTCAACCAGACACTCAAACAAATTATTTCTACTTGTTAAATATTATTAAAATATGCTTTGAGTTCAATTATACATAATAGGTACCAACAGTTAATGACTTATTAGCATTGGGATGAAAGTTAAACTGCAGTTTAGATCAAAACTTAAAGGAAAAGTCGCTAACATTCAGAATTCAAACTTCTGAAAGTTCTTTAAATCTGAAATGATTCCATCCTGTTCAATAAATGATCAGTGTTTTTAATCCAGAGTAATTTTCATGTGAATGAGCTTTACTGGAGGCATCCATGTTTGTCAAAGAACACTACTGCCACCTACTGGTTAGTGACATTGTCACGGTGCGGTATCGGCTGTTGATCAAGTCCCAGTGCTGTATCTGGTGTTTGTCACAACGCGCTATTATCCAAGTCATCTTGAAAACATTCTTCTTCCAAATGTTGGCTACATATTACATATTAGGGTGGCTCAGGTTATCCTGAGCTATCTCTATAGTTATGCTGCTATAGGCTTAGACTTTTGGAGGACATAGGGACCCCCATTTCATCATTCTGCTTCATTCTCTCTCTGTTCTCCTATTCTGCAGAATCTGTTAGTTCAATCTCTAACCTTCTGCTCTCTCTGCTTTTCCTCAGAGTAGCTTTGCCTCGTCTGTTCCTGTTTGGCTGTGACGTCATCCTGGAAAGAAACATCAGCTGTGCTGCTTCTATCAACACCCTTGTTAATAGATGTTGGAGATCGGCCTGTTTTCCAGTGTGGTCCTGTTTCTCTGACCGTGACTGAGTGGATGTGCTCTCTTCGTCCTCTGGCATGGGAGCTGCCTTGGAGCTCGTCTGACTGGCTGTGTGTTTCCTGGACGGGGCCGCCTTTTACAGCTGCTTTTTGTATCTCTGCTTCTGTCTCCTTGAACCCCAGTCGGCCTCGGCAGATGGCCGCTCACACTGAGCCTGGTTCTGCTGGAGGTTTCTTCCTGTTAAAAGGGAGTTTTTCCTCTCCACTGTCGCTACAAGCATGCTTAGTGTGAGGGATTGCTGAAGAGTCAATGAGTCGATGCAATCAGCTGGTTTTCCTTAGATAGAAAACTTTGTATCAATTTGACTGGATGATCTGGTGAACTGTAAAGTGCCTTGAGATGACATGTGTTGTGAATTTGGCGCTTAATAAATAAACTGAATTGAATTGAATATTACGTGTTTTTTCTCTGGCCAGAAGTTCGATGGCAAATCCTCCCTCTTCAAGTTGGCGATCCAACGACCAACCCGTCCGTGGAGGATCAGGAATCAGAAAGGTGAAATAACTCATGTTTTTTTTACTTTTACCCGATGTATTCCAGCATCCAGCTGTCATGCACGTGGGCATTGTCAGTTTCACTATAGCTCTGGTGAATTTCAATGGTGAAGTCCTCTGGAAATCGTCAATAATTGTTGTTGATTGCAGATGTGTCTAGTAGTTCCCATTGATTTAGCTTGGAAAGCGGAGAGAATGGCGCTAGGCTTACCGCACCGTGACGTCACTGCTGAAAGATGGCAGGAGGGAGGGGTTACTATATTTGGGCAAAAATGGCCGCTCCCAGACAAAAATTATTGTTTTTATTTATTTACTGATAAACACTAAATTCATTAAATCATACCAAATGTATCAGTTTTAGGTATAAATAATGATCCATTGATTATTCCTGCTGACTGGACTTTTCCTTTAAACCAAAATATTTAGCTTTGATATGAAGCAGCTGTTTATCACAGCTGTCCTTTACTGTATTTGAAATAAATTCAGATATCAACAGAAATCAAATTTTAACGTCAAGTTCCTGAACTTAAACTAATCATACTGCTTCCAGACATTAAAGATTTTCCTATAAAGATTTCCTGGTGCCCGCAGACACCAAGGGGCCCTCAGGGGCCTCATGGGGTGCCTGTTTCCCTTCTGTTGCCCTTCTTTTTTTTTTTTTTTTTTTTAACAGTGTCCTGTCTGGCAATGTGGCAATAAGAATAATTGTCTTGATGCCAAAAAGAGCCCAACAGATTCTACTCTCACAAGAGAAGCAATATGGCAATTGCCATATAGCTCCACTTGTTTCATGCATATAAATTGCTTTATTATAATTATGCAGGGAGTTTTACAGTTTATATGGACACTGCAATGTAAGTAGAGCAGAAAAAAAGAAGAAGAAAAGGAAAAAAGAAAAAAAGAGAAAAGATGTTGCCCTTCTTTTTAAATCATATATAAAACACTTTCATCATTTTAATCAAAAGTTAAGGTGAATGTTCTTCCTTCCTTCCTTCCTTCCTTCCTTCCTTCCTTCCTTCCTTCCTTCCTTCCTTCCTTCCTTCCTTCCTTCCTTCCTTCCTTCCTTCCTTCCTTCCTTCCTTCATTCCTTCCTCCCTTCCTTCCTTCCTTCCTTCCTTCCTTCCTTCCTTCCTTCCTTCCTTCCTTCCTTCCTTCCTTCCTTCCTTCCTTCCTTCCTTCCTTCCTTTATTGCGTCCTTGCTTCCCTTCTCTCCTTCCTTCTGTCTTTCCTTCCCTTGCAGCTTTCTTTTCTTGCTTCCTTCCTTGCATCCTTCCTTCCTTCCTTCCTTCCTTTATTGCGTCCTTGCATCCTTCCTGCCTTTATTGCGTCCTTCCTTCCTTCCTTCCTTTATTGCGTTCTTGCATCCCTTCTTTCCTTCCTTCTGTCTTTCCTTTCCTTGCATCCTTCTTTCTTTGCTTTCTTGCAGACTTCCTTCCTTCCTTGCTTCCTTCCTTCCTCTGCCTTACAAAGGTTGGTGACCCCTGGTCTAGACTGAAAAATCACAGAAAAATACCTTAAAAGTGACGATACGAGAACAGCACTGTGGGATGCAGATAAAATGAACTGCATGCAAACTAAGAATATTCTCATTCACATAAAAGCATTCTCCACAGCGCTCTGTGTCCCTACCACAGGTAGATATTGCTTAAAGCGTGCGGCGGAGCGGCCGGGCATGCACTGTCCGTACACTGTCTCTGCAGTCTGCGTCCACTCGCCCGCTGTTGAGCAGCAGCTGAAGCAGTGCCAGGTTTCCCTTCCTCGCTGCCCAGAACACGGCGTTAGCCAGGGGCGTTTCCTTCTGCAGGGCAAACACACACAGCTGACACTGAAGCCGCCATTAAAGCATTAGGCTGCGTGAGACAATGACCACTGTAGTATGTGTCCACGTTTCACTGCTTAGTGTAGATGTTATGGAGAGGTTCGCCACCCTTAAGCTCACTGTTCTTTAGGCAACCTGTCACTTCAGTTTCTTTGGGTGAGCCGACTCTTTAACTTAAAACTGGAAAAAGATCAGCTCCTCTGCCAGCACTGTCACCTTTTTCTGTCTATTCTAAAAATTGCAAATTTCATCCAATCCAACACTGCAAAAAATAGAAATCTCAATAAGTTATTTTTTCTTAAAATAAGTGTGTTTTTCCTTGATTTGAGGAGGTAAGTAAGACACTTTGCCAATGGAACAAGACAATTTCCTTTTAAAATAAGAAAAAACAATTTTATCTTCTTATTTCAAGTAAATATTATCTAACTATCTTATTTTAAGAGTGAAAATACTCATTCCATTGGCAAATCATCTTATTTACCTGCTCAAATTAAGGCTAAATATACTTAATTTAAGCAATTTTTTACTGATTTCTGGATTGTTTTTGCAGTGAACTCATATTGCGGCAATTAGATCTTTGTGTAAACTCAGAATTACAAAGACTCCATTATCCATAATTTCTTCCTCAGTCTGAAGTTAAAGATAAATTCAAGTAGTTTTGGAAATTGGTTAGTTTAATTTTAGATAACCAATTTAGGAAAAAATAGAACCATGATACAGCCTGTATAACACAGTGGTGGGGGTATCATGATGTGGTGCTAATCTTCTTTAGATTGAATACTGAGCTACAGAGTTGATGTTTGTCTGGATTTTGTTTCCTGTTCGGAAACAAATAGGAAATACAGTGAATGTGATGATCTAGGTGGTTTGGATCTATCGACCTTCCCATCTCTGGAGGCCTTCAGGGAAGCAGGATTTAGAAAAACTCTTCTAAAGCTCAGGCTACTTTGTTGATGCATATATATATATATATATATATATATTTTTTTTTTTTTTTTCCCCACCTATCTTTATTAATTCCTTATGAAGATCTTTCAGCGGTTTTCTACAGACAGCTTGGTACCCATTTTCTCTCCAGCCCTTTGCTTCTCAATCTTGACACAGAAGAGATAATTAAAATCCTGCTGATGATCCAATCAACTATTGATTGGGGCTGAAACAATTCATCAGATTCATCGTGATTAATCGACTATTGAAATAATCGTCAACTAATTGAGCAATCAATTAATCATTAACTGGAGAATAGAGACTGTAAAACATGCCTTTAGCTGACAGAGTGACCCACTTAGAGCAGGAACTACATCAACATTCTACAAAAATATGTAAACATTTTGCATTTAGATAAGATAAAGTTCAATCCAGATCTGCCTTTTGTGGAAACATTTTAGTTTCACCTGGTTTAATCTTGTAAAGGCCAGGCTTAAAACTTTCCTTTTTGATAAAGCTTCTAGTTAGAGTGGCTATCTCTATAGTTCTGCTGCTATAGGCTTAGACTGCTGGAGGACATAGGGACCCCTTTTTCATCATTCTGCTTCATTCTATCTCTATTCTCCCACTCTGCAGAATCTGTTAGTTCAATCTCTAACGTTCTGCTCTCTCTGCTTTTTCTCATAGTAGCTTCATCTGGTCTGTTCCTGTTTGGCTGTGACTCCATCCTGGAGAGAAATATCAGCTGTGCTGCTGCCATCAACACCTTTGTTTCTAGGTGTTGGAGCTTGGCCTGTTTTCCAGTGTAGTCCTGTTTCTCTGACTGTGACTAACTGGATGTGCTCTCTTCATCCTCTGACATGGGAGCTGGCTTGGAGCTCGTCTGCCTGGCTGTGTGTTTCCTGGACGGGGCCGCCTGTGGAGCTGGTTGACAGTTTCTATCTATGCTTCTTTTTCTATGTCTGCTTCTGTCTCCTTGAACCCCAGTGGGCCTCAGCAGATGGCCGCTCACACTGAGCCTGGTTCTGCTGGAGGTTTCTTCCTGTTCAAAGGGAGTTTTTCCTCTCCACTGTCGCTACAAGCATGCTTAGTGTGAGGGATTGCTGAAGAGTCAATGAGTCGATGCAATCAGCTGGTTTTCCTTAGATAGAAAAGTTTGAATCAATCTGACTGGATGATCTGGTTGATCTGGAAAGTGACCTGAGATGACATGATGTGAATTGGAGCTATAGAAATAAACTGAATAGAATTGAATTAAAAAATACTCTTTAAGGAACCTTTGGCTAAATAATAGACAGATTAATCGATTTGCATAAATAGTCGTTAGTTGCAGCCCTTCTATTGATTAAAACCCCTTTAAATATTGAGGAAGTCTACCTCATCCATCTGTGTTTTTACGCCATTCCTCTCAGAACTCTCAGGGTTTTTCACAAACACCAAACAGCACATCAGAAAGATGCATTTGTCATCTGTGACTCATGTAATACTTTTATCAGCATCTTCTTGTGCAGCCATCGTGCCCAGACGTGTAACTGCAGAGCTGTATGATTAAACCCAGTCTAACGTCTGTTCCCTTTCTGCACTGAACACCTCAACATGTCACCTCATTAAACACATCCTGACTCTACAGCAGCAGCAGCTGTCCTCCCGGCATGCAGGCCCTCTCTGCCGGACACAGCGGGACGGAGAAAGCCGGTTTACCTTGAAAGACATCCTGCAGACTTCAGTCGTGACTCATGGTGATCTCTTGTTGTGCAATCAGTCAGACGCGATGCTGATCGTAATTAGGCTGTTTTTGCTGCGCAGTGTTTGGGTGTTGTCCCGCCGCGGACATCATAACAACAGCGGAGTCAGTCAGCTGAGCTCAGCCTCTGCAGTGGATCCTGCAGGGACAGAGAAAGGCCGCCAGAGGGCGCTGCTGCATATAAGTCAGATAAAGGAAATACAACATCTGAATTTAAAATCCTCCTTCTCACATATAAAGCCTTAAATGGCCAAGCTCCATCTGATATCAGAGATCTGATTGTTCCTTATGTTCCTAACAGAGCACTTCGCTCTCAATCTGCAGGTTTACTGGTGGTTCCTAGAATTTCTAAAAGTAGAATGGGAGGCAGATCTTTTAGTTATCAGGCTCATCTCCTGTGGAACCAACTACCAGTTTTAGTCCGTGAGGCAGACACCCTGTCTACTTTTAAGGCTAGGCTTAAAACTTTCCTTTTTGATAAAGCTTCTAGTTAGAGTGGCTCAGGTTATCCTGATCTATCTCTATAGTTATGCTGCTATAGGCTTAGACTGCTGGAGGACATAGGGACCCCTTATGTCCTCCAATGAGAGTCAATGAGTCGATGCAATCAGCTGGTTTTCCTTAGATAAAAAACGTTGAATCAATCTGACTGGATGATCTGGTGAACTGGAAAGTGACCTGAGATGACATGATGTGAATTGGAGCTATAGAAATAAACTGAATAGAATTTAATTAAATTGAATTCATGTTCGGCCTTAAATCTTCTGTTTCTTCTGGCTTGTCACGGACCCTTCGTATCTCAATCTTGACCTAAAATTTCTACAAGTAATCACTAAGCTTGTAATCCTAAACTATCCCTAAAAATATTATCATCCTTATCCCCTGGCTAGGTCATCTCTCTGGCCAAACACCTTTCCTTTTGGCTCTCTGGAACCCTTTCTCAGGTCATGCGGTTGATTTTTATCTCGTCTTCCGCGATGAAGAATCTAAGCAGGAGTTCAGGAGCAATCTGGAGAGCCAGAGGGCCGAAGGAGCAAACATCTTCTCCTTTTAACCTGTCCAGAAAACAAGGAGCTCATCTTCTTGGCCAATGGGTCACTGTATCACCATGTAAGGGACTGAAGGTGATCGCCTCATCATCCAGGCCATGCAGGCCATATTTGATCTACCAGTCATCCAGTAACCGGTCCACTCTAGATATCAATATTTCCTTATTCTTCCCTTCACGCATGAACAGTCTACACATATAACCCATCCATCCCTCCATCTTCCCCTGCTTAGTCCTGGTCAGGGGCCAGTGGGGCCAGTGCCTATCTCCATCTGTCTATGGGCGAGAGGCGGGGTCGACCCTGGACAGGTCGCCAGTCCATCACAGGGCAACACAGAAACACACAACCATTCACACACACAATCACAACTAAGGACAATTTTAGAGAAGCCAATGAACCTAACAGTCATGTTTTTGGACTGTTGGAGGAAGCCGGAGTACCCAGAGAGAACCCACGCATGCTCGGGAGAACATGCAGACTCCATACAGAAAGAGCCCGGGCCGGGAATTGACTACTTGCTGTGGATAGAACCGACTTGTCTTTAAACCTTAGTTTGGCTCCATCTTGAGACTATTTATTTTTATGGCTCCCTTTCAATCCCTTTATCCATTGTTCATCCTCACACAGAAACACCACAAGTCACAATTTGGTATAACAGAATCATTTGACAAGTTCTTAGTTTTACATATTTTCAGAATAATTGGATTTCAAACTCGTCGTACAATTCTATCTACCTCGATTGTTAAGTGAAGGTCTTCTTCCTGCATTGCTACACAACCTGTCTTGATGTTGGCACTGATGCCTGGCTTGATTGTTCATTCCATTCACCTGCGTAGCTCCACCCAGTTTCTCATCACCACTGATCTGTGTCACCAGTCTCTATTTAACCCGCCTGCTTCCAGTCATCAGTGCCATATTTTTCAAGCCCCTGGTTAGAGTTCTCTGGCGTACCTGTTTGTGTTCTGATTGCCTGATCCTGACCCATTCTGCGTTCAGAACTCTAAGCCTGCCTGTTCTTGTTCTGATCTGTTTGCCTGACCTGTTTTCGGACTCCTGCTTGATTCTGCGTGTTGACCAAACCTTAAGTGAACAACCATGTTGACATAAACAAAACAACAGCGTCCTTATTCAATTCAAGTCAGAAATTATAACAGAAACAAAGAGAAATAAAAAAAAATACTTCTATTTGTAAACAATCCGCAGGCAGCAATGGCTTTAAAATACCAGCAATGGTAAGAAAAATCCCTCCAGAGTAATTTACTAAGACTAATTACTGCAGCTAACAGTAACCTTGACACACAAACACTGGTAAGGTGAATACCAGCAGGTAACGTCTGAACTTTCTTAGATTAGCATGTTACAGCAAAACAACAGAATCAGTCTTTGTAAAATCCACATTCACTGTCGCTTTTATCAACTTCACTGTACTTTGACAACTTTTTTATTACATTTGTTTGAACTGGGAAATAGATTTAGACAAACAGAGTGTATACAAAATGAAATGTCATTTTGTACAGCTCACAACAGTTGTAATGATGTTGCAGTTGGAGTAGATAAACATTAGCATAAAGTGCAGCAGAGATCAGAATGTAAACAATGACATAAATAGTTGCAATGAGCATTGTTTAGATTGTGGTTCTAAGCGGCTCCAGAGCCGGAAACCGCACACAGACACACATGGACTTTAAGTTTACCGCAACCCTCAGTCTGAGTCTGTAAATATCTTCTCTATAAAGGAAACTTTATCAGTATCTGTAGGTCAGTTCCTTCGTGGTTTTTAGATCAGCATTGGAGAAGAGAAATCAATGAAATCCACTTATTTTTGGGTTAAGACTGTTAAAACAAAAAATATGTCTCATTTTCTTTATGATGCAGATTGGTCATTTTTCAGGTAAGTTGAGGAAAGAAATATAACTCTTATACTTTTTACTCAAGATTTGAATTCTAATACGTTAGATAAGGTGCTATAAGACTGCAGTAAAATAATGCACGGCTTATGATCTACAACATGCTCAGATTTTTTTCATTATAGAAAGGCTTTTAAATAGCTTTTTTTTGCAGCTGTGTGGTGAGTGTTTTCCAGCTCAGATTGGTGTTATAAAAAAAAAAACATTACAGTCCATTTTTACATTTTCATTATGTTATATATTGGATGAGAGGTCTGTTGTTTCTTTATTGGAACCAAAAACTTATTAAGTTCAGTGATAATTTAACCACTTAGTAAAAAAAAAAAAAAACTAGATTATTTATGATTTACAATCTGTATAAAGCCTGTCTTAGTAAACAATATCCAAAAAAGCTGATTAAAAAAAATGTTCACAATAATGCAGTAATTGTTTCTCCTGAAATATTTGATCAATGAGTGCATATAATAATCTCAGTGAAACTTCTTCTGCTTTTATCAAAACAAAAACATCAACAGGTTGATTTCTGCTGTTATTTCAGTGCAAACTTTATTCACATGCATTGTTATTTTGGCCTGTGTCGGGTGTCAGGTGTTATGCTCAGTTATAAACATGTATTTGAGGGATTAACAATACTGCAGCTTTAGCTGTTTCTAAGTGATAGCTGCAGGAGAGTGCAGAGGGGGAGCCGACGGGGCCACATATTTTTGTCGACTAATATACCTTTCAGGTGCAGGAGCAAGCCTTCATTTAAGGCTTTAGTAAAAAGAACATATAGTTAACAAAAAGCTTTATATAGCAGGCTGAAAGCTGGAGGCTGTACACTCTGGGAGTCACCATTGGAACATGGGAACCAAACAGGCTGACATGTGTGCAGGTAGGCAACCCAGGATTTGATTCAGTTTGAGAAACCAACTATTTTCTTACCTTTGTCTCATTTGTCTTGCAATTAAAATAGAATTTAAACTTGATGATGAAAAAACTTTTCCTGTAAAATCTATGTTTTAACATAAAGATTTAAAATAACTAATACAAGAAAGAATCCTTGGGCTTAAAAGAAGAGATTGGGTGTTTAAAGAGTTATTCCTGGTGTCACTGAACTATTGCCAGAACGTTTATAATTTAATGCAAACATCCACATTAAAGCAAGAGGTTTTGATTCGTTATTTTCTGTATTTCTAGGTGGTCAGATCAGCTTTCTGCTGAGGGCAGCCCTGCTCTCTGTCCTGCTGTGCAGCCCGCAGACGGTGCTGTCAGACTCGGACGAGGCGGTCCTGACCGAGTGGGACATCTGGAAAAAAAGTCACGGCATAAGCTACGATGAATTGGTGAGATTAAATAAACAGTTAAACCCTTTGAGGAAACATCAACACAATCAGGAGAACTCAACCTTTTAAGTGTTTTTCTCCTTCCTTTAAAGCAGGACGACATGCAGCGGAGGGCCATCTGGGAGGACAACAAGCGGAAGATTGAGGACCACAACCAAGGCTTTCTCACCGGGAGGAGGTCCTTCAGTCTGGCCTTGAATAAATATGGAGACCTTGTAAGGAGGGCCTGCTTTGCTCTTAGATTTGTTAAAAGTTTCTAGTGTTTGTCTTCACATGGCTGCTTCTGGTAGCTGCAGATTAATCAGTACATTTATTGTTAGAAGATAAACTTTTCAGCAACTTCACCAGAATACAGAATTTTTAGGTTAGCTTGTCTGTTTTTCCAGAGTCTGACTGATTGTGTGGTGCATCATTTCTTCCTCTGATTTCCTTCCATAGACGATGGAAGAATATCAAAATCTGCAGGGAGCCATGATCAATGCCCAGTTTGTGGCCAGAGGGAGGGAGGTTTCAGCTAGAAGACTGCGCTACAACGCTAAAAAGCTTAATACTTGGTTTGTTGACTACAGGAGCATGGGCTATGTCACCGAGGTTAAAGATCAGGTAAGATAACACCTGTAGAGTCATTTTGTTCTTCAGTCTGAGTTACAATTAAAGCAACAATTCTCTTGTCCTCTCAGGGTTACTGTGGTTCGTGTTGGGCCTTCAGCACCACAGGAGCGATAGAAGGACAAGTCTTCAAGAAAACGGGTCGGCTGATGTCTCTGAGCGAGCAGAACCTGGTGGACTGCTCCAAACCGTACGGCACCTACGGCTGCAGCGGCGCCTGGATGGCCAACGCCTATGACTATGTGGTCAGCAACGGTCTGCAGACGACAGAGACCTATCCGTACACCTCGGTGGTGAGCCTCAGTCTTATATTCCAGCCTCTGTCCAGACGAACGGAGAGCTCTTCAGCAGGCGTTCCTTTCTCTCCACAGGACACACAGCCTTGTTTCTACGACAGCAGTCTTGCAGTGGCGCATATCAGAGACTACCGCTTCATTCCCAAAGGAGACGAGCAGGCGCTGGCCGATGCTGTGGCAACCATCGGGCCAATTACTGTAGCCGTCGATGCCGATCATTCAAGCTTCCTCTTCTACAGCTCAGGCAAGTATCTGTTCTGCTTTAATAGAAATAAGCTGGTGCAAACTTTCCTACAGGTTTGATCAAATTGTGCATTACTTTTCTGTACTGGAGTTTAAAACAGCATAACTATCTTCCTTGCATCAGTTTTCAGCTACAGCAGTTTGCAGATGGACCAACTTTTCTAAACCCCCCTGGGCATTGCACTAGCCGAACGCCAGCAGCAGCAGTTTGTTTATCTCCTAACAAACTGCTGTTCACAGCCAGATATTTCTCCTCAGGTGTCAGTTAAGATTTTAATTCAAACAGCAAAATTTATGGCTGTTCTGCTTCTTATAAATGGGACTTTTTCTGGGCTTATTATAAGGAAAAATGCTGCCATTTCAATCTAAAATCAACTTTCCGTGTCTGTTTTCACAACATTTCCTTATTGTATGTTTATCAGAGTGGAAAAAGGTGCACATTTAGAGCCCAGTAAAAGCTTCATTACTTATGCTTCTGACCCTGAAATCTAGTGTCAGGTTCAATTATGAGCAGGTGTGTTTCTATTAGATTAGAAAAATATCAAAAGATTATTTTAATTCTCTAATTTCAATTCAGCAAACAAAAAAGCTGTAAAAAGTAACATCAATTCAGATATTTTACACTCATTTCTATCATTTAAGTATCTGAAATTCAATCTGTAAGAATACTTTAATATTAAATGTCAAATAGATAAAATAACTTTTAATGCAGAAAGAGAGGATCCTGAAGTATTAATGGGTTTTTAGTAGATTTATAAGATCAGAGCTTTAACAGCCACCACTCACAGACTTAGAACGGTTGCATTGTTTCTATCCTCTCCTAATGCAGATTCTGCGTCCAACTGTCTTATCTTGGCTAACGGCTAAAAACACTGAGCCGTTGCTCAGTGGTGAAAAGTCAATTTTGTGTAGATTTGTGTAGATTTGGAAACCAAAACCAAACTTCCAGAACATCGACTTTGATCCACAACACATATTGTTTGAGTTTTACAATAGAATTGCTAAAATAATATCACAGCAATGTTGCTATTATATATATGATACAATAGAATAGAATCAATTAGAATAGACACACCGTTAGTGACCCACACTGGAAAATTAAACTGTGACAGCGGCATGTAGACCCTAGATTTGCACACTAGATTAAATCATATGAATGAAACGTTCATTGAAATTTGCTGTGAAGCAGAAGTTATAATAGTTGAATAAAAACTGACTTAAATTGTATAATACTCTACTGTAAGTAGTGGCGTGTTTTGAAAGATGTACATCTAATCTAACAGGGTAAAAATAATTTAATCTCAAAGCAAATTCATCAGGGAGTTTTAAATGGGATCAACGGTTCCAGGACTGCAGGAAGTACTTTTGAACAGGGGGTGCTGTGAAAATGTTTTTGTTTCTTTTGGAAAAACTACCTATGAGCCTATATGCCTATTTAAAATACAATAATAATAATAATTAAGTAAATTGAGATTATTAACTTTAATGTCAGTGCACCAACCAGGGTCTGTAACACGCAGATATAATCAGTTCTCAGGTGAATATCTGCACTATTAATTAAACTTCACAATAACAATCAATATAACAGCGTAGATCTGGTCAGCTGGCAGGAACCTGAGTCACTGTGTTTATGTCAAACGTGACTCTATTAGCTCCAAAATCCTTTTACACAAACCACCAAGAAATATTATATTAATGTACTATTTAAAAGTTATTGAACAGTTCTCCATTACACAAAGAGCACCGGATCAAAATAACTCTATAATACTATGGTGGCGTTGAACTGCAGGAACAGATATAAAAGAAAATCTGAATGATTGGATGCAAATTATTGTTTCTTCAACAGAACAGGAAGCAGATTTCTCATCTCCATCAAACTAGTTTCTACCAAGAGGCTTAAAAGCTTAATCAAATCCAGCCAAAACTCCTGAGAGCGCATCTGACAACTTTAAAACAAAGTTCCTATTGCAGGCATGGATAGGGGAGTAAATCACACCCATCATGGCGATTCGATTCAGTATCATTTTTGTGACTGATTCAATTATTTTCAATTCTCAGGAATACACCACCATACCATTCGATTCGATTTTGTTTTTTACCTTACAAGCTAGACAATGTTTCAAATTTGAAATAAATCAATGAAAGCTGTAATATCGTTTTGCATTTTATTTGAGAAACAACAGCAAATAACAGAAGTAGCAAGGTTGTTCTCCACCTAAATAATAATGCCTCTGTGTTATAGATTCTGAAAGGCCTTGAATCAAAAAATACTGCAAGCGGAACAATGGTAGTGGCTAAAGGAAGCGAGGTAGGAGGGCAAAATAGGTTTAGCGCCACCGCAGCACGGGAGTCAGAATTAAGTCCAGGAGCAAATGGATAAAAATAGACCGGAGGAAAAAAAAACATGAATCGATACTCGAGCAGACGTGTCGATGCATCCGATCGACGGCTGTTGGATCGATGCATCGATACAAAAGTATTATTATTTACACCCCTATGCATGGATGAAGATGCTGAGTTTGGAGGTAGAGAACAAACATGGTTCATCCAAACCAATTTTGTATGATCCTAGTTATCCCTGCTACAAAAACACACAACAAAAGGTTTCTGTCATTAGATTATTTACTATTCAGCTGCTGCGAGCGGGATACCACGCACTAGCTATCTTGACATTGCCATGACAACATTACGTCCATGAACTTGTGTTGATTAGGCCTCAAAATAGTTTCATTAAAATCCAAATATGTGTAATAAAAAAAAAAAAAGACGGAATAATTTACCAAGATATTTCTAAGAAATGTATAAATTTTGCAAAGTATTTTTAATGCATTTTTTTTAAATCTCCCTCTGGCCAATAGGGGGTTGCTGCAGCAACCCCCCTGCCCGCGGCCATGCACGATTCAAACAAAGACCTTTGCCTTTCCATTTCTCTGCAGGGATTTATGACGAGCCCAACTGTAACCCTGATCACCTGAGCCATGCGGTGCTGGTAGTTGGCTACGGCTCCGAGGATGGTCAAGACTACTGGCTAATCAAGAACAGGTGTGTTTAACACGTTTAAAGCACCTAAATGTGTGGATTTCACAATGATACACCTTAAAAACTCATTTTCTCCTTCTTCTTTCTCGTAGCTGGGGAAGCAGCTGGGGTGAAGGTGGATACATGAGGATGGTCCGGAATGGCAGGAACACGTGTGGCATTGCAAGCTATGCATTGTACCCAATATTGTGAATCTGAAAACTCTAAAGAACATCATTTTGAACATAAAAAAACACATTTACTTTTTTCTATTTTAAGATAAGCAGTTTGTGAACCTGTTTGACATCAAGCTTTACAGGGAACGCTTTGCCTCTCAGGGACTTAGAAGAAATGATAATTTGGGAGTAGATTTTTCTAAAGTATTTCTGTTTGTAAAACTTATTGAAAATAAAACTGGAATTTAAAATGAAATTTGGATGTTTAACCTTGGACAGAGATGAAAGTTTTTATTAAAGTCCTTTTATGCACATGGGAAAAAATGCCCCCAAACATCTGTTTCTTTTCCTCGCCGGGAAAATGTCCGACCATCGTTCAATTATTGGGTCAGATTGATGCTCTGAAAAACCTCGGTGGACAAAGTGAGCTTTGTCACATTTTCTGGTCCAGAGCAGTGAGATATAAATCTAACAGATGCTTGTTTTTCTCAAAGGCAAAACAAATAATTCTCACAGAGATATTTGAGCAGCACCAAAACATCTCTGAAAAACATAAAGACTGCAGGGAAAAACACTTTGACTGAACCAAGACTTTCTGCAGAAACATGAAGCATAGGGACATTATTGATGATTCATACCAGAAAAAAAAGAATTCAACTCCAGATCTATAAAACTTCAATTGTGGGTAGAAATAATGTAATTGAAAAATTAAATTTTTTTTATCCAACTAAGAAAAAGTTTCAATATTATTATTATTTGTTGTTGTTATGACCTGTAGTTTAGTTTAAAAACGCATATTTAGGGATTCATTTTAACACGCTTTACTGAAAAATATATAATTATACAGCTTTATCTGGAGCAATAGTACTAAAAAAAGGTATGTTTGCAATAAAGCATTTGGTGTAGAGGATTAATGGACGTTTCTGCCGTAAACTAATAGTATTTTTTTTACATTTTATAATTTTAACTTAATAATAAAAATGACTGAAGTCAGCCTTTAAACTTAATTTCCCCTAATCTTTCATTTCTGTTGAGGAATCAGAAAAATGTGTTTGATCCAGATTAAGTAAACCTGAAAGGTTAAAACTGGTAAACCTTCTCAGTCAACAAAGTACTTTTCCTTTTTGTTTGTTTTTTAATAGGACCTGTGGATTATTTAGGGGTGCAGTATTTATAATCTGGTTTCATCTGCTTTTACAACACATGATATTTATGGAGATATATTATGAACATCAAACATATAGACAGTAAAACTGTTTAAATGGTTACATTGTTTTCTCAGCTGAAACAGGAGCAGCAAAAAAAAAAAAAAAAAAATCTATCTGATAGCATAACTTTAAAGCTTTTGAGGTTTTTATTTTTATGCCTCATGCTTTCATCCAATGGTTCTCTGTGGGACCTCCAGTCCAGCAGGGGGCACTTATCACTAACTGAGTTACTTCTAGGACAAACTGGCCCGGTTTAATGGGGATTTTTGTTATTTTGTTTGAACTAATACTAATTAACAGTATAGTCACAGTTTAATTTTTAGATTTTTTTTATGTTAATAAAGTTTAAACTTTGAAATTAAAGATGTATTTTGCTACCAAAATAAATTAAATTGTTAAACTTGAATGAGTCCTTGTCTTGCCTCGTTATAGTCAACCCTTAGCAAAAAGTAGCATACTTGAAGTAAATTCTATTAAGAATACTTAAGTATAAGTATAAGTTTAGAAAGTATACCAAACAATGTGCTTTTAGTGTACTTGAAGTATTACTAAAGTAATACTTCTTCGAACAAAATTGGGACATTTTTAAGTTTGTTAAAGTATACTTAAAGTATACTTTAGTAAACAATAGTATAGTCAAGTGTACTTGACTATACTATTGTACTATTAAGTATATGAAATATAGTTTAGAATAAGTAAACTCTAAGTGCCTGATTTTAAGTATGAAATTAGTGCACTCATACAAACATAATCCAACAGTAACAGTAAAAGTATTCAGTCGGCTAGGTAAACAGGAAGCCATGAGGCCTGTCGTGTGAAAAAAGTTTTCAACTATACAGTCCAGTTAAATAAACGGAGATGGATGGATTTTACTCAGTCGACTTTATTTACTTAAATGAGAAGTAAATGAGAAAAAGACGTTCCAGACGTCACAGCAGTTCAATTGTCTGCTCTGTTCTGCACCTGACAGAGTTGGTCTCTCTTCTTATAATGATGAAAAGGCTGTGAAGGTTGAGAGTCGGAACAAATTACACAATAACTAACCTTGAGAAAGAATTTGGCTGGTTATAGGAATAAGAATGTTTTTGTCTACAACTAACCCTCACTCAGACATGTTGTGATGAAACAGACTCAGTAGAAGCATTTTTTTGTGGATAAATAGCATAACTCAATATATGAAATAATAGAAATCTAAATTTTCCGACCACAGACCCAAAGGAGATAAAAAGACTCAAACTTTCAGATTGTTTCTCACTACAGAAAACAGGCACGTCATCAAGTACTGCTATAATGCAACTGTACAGTTCTACTCTACAAAGAATGAATGAAATACAAGTTTTATACTGAGAGCCTTTTACCAGGAGGGGAAAATATCTTGAAAAGTAAAAAGCCTTATTTTAAAAACTCACTAAAGGCACTGTTAGAAGCACGCCATAAACACTTTAAAATATACCTAACTTTTTCTTTGTGGGAACGCAGATCAGTTCTGACGTCAGATTTCAACAGCTACTAGACTTAACAATAAAGTCAGAACAATCAAAACATTTAGATCAGGGGTAAACAATTAAAAACCAGCGGGGTCCAAATAAAGAAAATCCTCAACCAGTAAAGGTCTGGAGACATTTTGCATTATAATCTGTTACTTTAAACAGAATTAAAAACTGAAATAAAATGAGGTTTTTATGCATCCATGTTATACATGAACTTTTTTAATAAAAAAAAAAAAAAAGAAAATGTTTCCATTTTAAAATCTAAAGTGTTTTTTTAAGTAGAGATCAACAATCGTTCAGTTTGGTTTATAGATAAGATTTCCTGATTCCCATATTTTCTCAAACAGCTGAACTGATCGTTTCTTATTTTCTTTCTTTCTTCTGTCTTAATGTTGGCAGTGGGCTTTAGGCTGCCCTGCAAGGCTTTAAACCTGGGTTTGAATGGAGACTAAGCCATTCTCAAGCCCATTGTAACCAGGCGACCTCTCGGCTGGGTTTCCAGTGAGAAAATGAAATAGTCTGGCAAAGTGAAGTGGAAGTATCAGCTGGTTTATTCAGCTTCACAGCATTTCCATCAAACACACAATACACTGCCTTAAATAGACACACTGATGGACTAAACCATTTTCATTAAATCTAACTCCTCCTCACTTCCATCTAAAAACACACATTGAAATTTAATATCTACACACACATTTAAGGTTATTTTTTATGAACATCTTCTGGTTTAAACTTACACCCAAACACCAGAGAAATCCCAGAAAACTATGTGCACAACCCCCCCCTATATTTTCCATGGTCTGTCCCAGAAACCTATAAATGGAGTTCGCTTTGTTCAACCTGGAGAGAACACAGACAAGACAGGTATGTCACTTTCCTACCTCAACACTTCTTTTGCACTTAGACTTTACACAAACATTTTCTAAAATTTCTAAATAGTAACCCTTGCTTGCTCTAAACATCAATTCCCCCAATTGTTAATGGAGAGCAGCTGTGGAGATCCTGGAACTAAAGGCTGCATGCTAACTATTAAAACACACAATAAATATTCAATAAAAACCTTGTGTGCAAATTATTCTTTATGTGCAAATCTATGCTTAAAGGGCCGTGATAAATAAAGTGTCCTAGTGCTAACCAAGCTGTTTTTAATAAAGTGCCTTTAAAGTGCTACAAACTATTTTCTTAAAAATAGTCCCAGCAATGAAAACCTCCTCATTACACACATATCAAGGTGCTGATTTTGAGCCTGGATCCAGATTTATTGTTGATTCTGTTCATGGTGGAGAATCCTGCTTCACAGCAGCAGGTTGAGCCAAACATCCTCTAAATGTGCAGGGTCATCTTTGAGCACGCCATTTCACTTTTCTTTCACCAGTTCACCGCAGTTCTTCCAGCAGTCCACACTTTCTCTGCTCTCTTTTTCTCATGGTCTTCTCCTTCTTTCCCATCGCCCGGCTTGCCACAGGTTTGCCTGCTGTGTCTAACAGTAGCAGCAGCAGCAACCCAGACTGACAGCTCATTGGCTCATTTGGATCACGTGCAGCCTGGAGCCGGACGCTCCCCAGGGCTTTACCGTATTAACAGGAGAAGAGGCGCAAGTAAAGTTAGACACTGCCGTTGGACAACATGCGGTAATTTATAAATGTTTTAAATCAGTTTGGGTCCGGATCCGGACCGCGGTCCGCTAATCTGTGACCTCTGATTTAGAAGAATTAAAACTCCAACATCAAGACTTGATGTTGGAGCTCAATTGAGCTGCATGAAAATGTGAGTTTTAGTGGCATTTGCAAATAAAGCAGGCTTTAAACAGGTGGGCCAACTATATGGGAGGCCTGATTTAGAACCAAATTTAAGGTAAAAAGGAACTAAAAGATGAAATCAATATCAAAATGTGATATTTATTTGGCAAAGTAATTTACATAAATATTTAAATTCACTCTCATTTCTGTTTCCTATGGTTTGTTTCCTCATATTATCAAAGACAATTCTCTCCAATATATTTTCAAAAATGCCTTTTTTTTAAATTCATTTACCTCTTTTTTTTCTCCCATTATCGCTGTATTCTGTTTCTTTGGCTGAACTGGGATTCCATATTTGTCCGGCATGCTATGACGGCCATTGTAAGGAGCTGAAATTGAACAATTAAGAGCTGACAGTTTTCTCTTAGCAGGAACGAGCCGCGTGCAGTTTCAGTTACTTTGGGTTAAAAGGTTAATGGAAAAAATTCTTGAAGGGAAGGGTTTTTGCTCAGGAGGACGGAAATGTCTTCAACCAATCATCTTAGTCTACAAAGCCTATTTCTAATATTTCGAGATATTGTTCCACCTCTTATCAAACTCTCCCTTCTTTGCAGCATCTAGAGGAGCTTCAGTAACCTCAGTTAAAAGCAGCGATGAAAGTTTTCTACATCAATGACAGTCCTGCAAACCTCATACTGGAAAAACGATCTAGCAATAAGTAAAACTTTCTTAAATTAAGTGTATTTACCCTTGATTTGAGTAAGTAAATTAGATAGTTTGTCAATGGAATCGGTATTTTTACTCTCAAAATAAGATAATTAGATAATATTCACTTGAAATAAGACAATGCAATTGTGTTTTCTTATTTTAAATCTCAATTGTCTTGTTCCATTGGCAAGATGTCTCTTTTATCTCCTCAATTCAAGAACAAATGTACTTATTTTAGGAAAAAATGACTTATCAAGATTCAGATTTTTTCTCAGTGTAGGCAGTTTACTGTTAAATAAGACTGCTTCATCAAGCAGCCCAGACTGCCTGAAAAACACAAATGAATAAATTATTCTGATATTTTTTGTTTTATGAATTCCCCAGTCAG